GAATCTAAAAAATGAAGCTCAAATTGAATACATCTAATTATAAACAACACTATAGCGATTAAAACTCTAGAAATCTAACACATTATTTGTATTATATCATGAACAAAAAATCGACAGGCGGAAAAAAAAAAAAAACAGCAGAAATTTTTTTCCACAGACATCACTATGTTCATCTAAAAATTCATCTTGTAATTGACCAAATTAAATAAAATGAAATATGTTAAATCATAATAGACACAATAAAGATTAAAAACCCTACAAATTGAACTCATTATCTTCAAAATATGCAGTGAAATTAATCATATGGCGGAAAAAAAAAAAACCCAAACCTCTTACCTGGTTTTGTGAACCCGAGCCTTCAATCTCCAAATAACTCTGTTTTTCTCAACGATTATCACAAATTCGTAACAAAAGGTTTTGATGAACAACTTTACAATCAAAATGGCAACAAATTTTGACAGATTCATGCCCTATTTGGCATGAAACACAAGGAAAGACGGAAACCCTAAAAATGCAACTTTCGTGATCCAAAAACACAAAATTTCTCAACCATTTAATTCGTGAAAAAACTGAATAAAGATGTTTAAAGCCTGCATATTAGATCACATGCCAAAAAAAACAAGAAAAATGATCAAAAAATGACAAATTTTGAAGATTCCAGTGAAGAACACTGTGCAACCCGTATTCTTCACGGGACTCGCCGATTCCGTACAGTGAATCGGCGAGTCATTGTACAGAATCGCTGGTTCTCTCTAGAACCGGGCGATTCCCGGTTTTTTGAGCGATTCGAGACGTCTACTGTCGATTCCCAAGTTGAACCGGGCGAGTCCGGTTCGTCTTGGCGGTTTTTTAAACAATGCCCCCAACTAAACAAAATAGAAAAAATAAAAAGACTAACCTACCTTCTCTTTCTTTTTACCCTATACATGCCTCTCTCTCCTCATGTTCTATGGGCAGTCCAGCAGTGTACGATTTCAATCCAGTAGGTCACAGTGGCAGTTAAGCAGAATAAAAAAGGGGTCCGACGATCATAGAGCGTTTCGGCAATTTACATGAGCAGTCCAGCAATTCGGAAGTTCGTTTGGTAGATGTTTTATTGTTAACATGGGGTCCGATTGTTGACAAGTTCGATCCGGCACAAATGACATGGGTCCGCGGATTACTAGTGCGCCCTGGCAATGTGCTACTAGGGTCGATCAGTCAACGTTAATATCTTGTCAAAATGCTATTTTGTGTACGAGAAAGGTATTTTTGTTCAAAAAAATTAACTTTTTGACTTGGAGGTATTTGCATAGAAAATATAATCTATGGAAAAAAGCGAGAGAAAATCTTCGGTTGGGGGTAATAGGGACGAGGGGAAATGAATTGCCCCTGAGAATATGAAATGACATAAATGCATCTTTCACTTTATTATAGATGATTATTAGGTTCTGCAGTGGATGTCAAAGTTTTTGATAAAATTACATAAAGCATCAATCTTAAAAATGGATGCAAGTAGGTGTTCCATCTAAAAACAATGAAAACTAGTGTGGTCCAAGTATTTCCCTAGTAGAATTATTATTTTTAGTTTTAAAAATTTACTTATTCTTTCATATTCATGATCTCCATCTTAGAGATTACATGTTCTAAAAAATTAAGTCAAAAAATTCATTTCAAAAATAGATTTATTAATAAGCCCATATTTCTATATATGTGGGCTTGGCCACATAGAAACCGGGTCCTTATGGAAATACCGTAAAGTTTCCATTATTACATCTATACCCATTTTCCCTTCAAAATAATTGTTTAAAAAAGTAACAGAGGTGTCCATTTCAATTTTCAATAACCGAATAGTTCACATGATTAGATTTTGAACAACCAAATTAATTACATTTTTGGTATTTCAATCATCAAAAATATTAAATTTTCAAATTTTGAAAATCTGAATTTTTTGGATTTTTTAAAATCCAAAATTATATTTTTCGCTGATTGAATATCAAAAAAAATTTGCGCTAAACTTCTCACGAGATAACTTTATCCTACAAGCATTCCTCTATGTTTTTTAGGGTTCACACTAGCATCTCACTCCCCTCTACTGTACCACTCATCCTCTCACAATCTATCTCTCGAACCCACAAATTTGAAAGGATGTACTCTTTGTCTCGTTGTCATGACTAGTAGGACTAACAACGATTCCTTCTCTAATTGAAATTTAACTGTATGTGATTGGTATATTTCTTACACTTGCTCTATTTTAATATTTATTGATTAATTTGATTGGATTAATGCAATATTTTATGTTCATTTTGATAGTTGTTAATTGTCTTCGAAGTGAATACTTTTTTGGATAAATGTTTGATTTAATAATTGCCTTATGAGCGAGGCCAAATTGCCAGATCTTGTATGTAAAACTGATATTTTATGATCCCTTAATGAACATCTAGTTACGTATTAAACATATTGTTAAAAATAAAAAAGTGATTTTTTTATTTTTATTTTTATATTTTTCTAGAGCTTAGAAAATTTATCATTTTGATTTTTAGTTTTCTTTATGGTTATCCTAGTCATTTTTGAGTTGTAGATATCAAAGGGGTAGAATTGGAAGTTTAATCATTTTTTAAATGGATATAGATAGGGTTTACCATAGTTGGGTTGGTTAGGATATATTAGACTTGTTTTTAAGAGGCAAGAGAGATATAGAGTTTAATTTGTTATTTTATTAATATTATTATTCCTTATAAGTGTGTATTTAAATAGAAGAAGTCCCTTCAGGTAATTGGAGAATAAAGAAATAGTTTAATCTTGTGAAAGATCTTGCAGTGGACTCCCTTGCAGACCCAGAAAGAGGGTACAATCTCACAAATGTTAAATTTTATTTTATTTTCTAGTTTATTATTTTTCCATCCCTACATCACATATCCCATATTTTTTGATAACTTGTTTTATTTATTCCATGTAACTCAAATTTTAGTATCCATTTATTACAGTGGCATCAACAATGGTTACCAAGACAGGGCAACTGGTATTTCGATATGAAGAACAATGGTTACCGAGGGAGTGCAACTGATATTTTGATATGAAGGGTCTTTTGAGACAAACCCAAACGGACATTATTTTTACAAGTGGCAATTGAATAGTATCAAGTACTATGGAAATAATTCATAGGAGCAACTAAAAAGTTATTTTGGGAACTTGACATCGTGTGATCTAAGCAAGTTGATTGTTATGTATTGCAACACGAGTCTATCTAGTGGCCTTGAATTGGTTGACATAAGTAATGATATCGATATATCTTATTTGTTGGGAGGAAAGTCTTCGAGTGTTGTTGTATGTATTGTATCTATAATGAAGCTGGAGCAGAAATCAATAGAATTCCGAATAGCAGAACCTGAAGGTCTAAAGCGAGGAGGGGCAGGTTTTGGCAAGTTGTCAGGCAGAGGGATGTATATGACAAGTGCGATGCTTAAGAGTTGACAATACGATACACTTTAGAGTGAAGTTCATGGCTAATGAGCACACATGTAGTGGTCCAATGGGGAAGGTTCATCAGACGCTTGCTCGAAGCGATTGGGTGGCATAGAAGACTAAAGCTGAAAGCAAAATTTTAGTATAAAGATAACTGAGATTTGAGAAGAGGTGTGTCGTGAGGCTGGTGATCGGAGACCCCAAATTTTGATTAAGAACCCTTTAAAGAGAGAAGATAAGCTATCTATAAATACAGTAGGCTTTGTATATTTTTGTTGTGTTCTCCTCTCTCTCTACCTTCCCATATTTATAAAAAGGAAAATAGGGTCCAACATTCTGAAAAACATACTTCTAAATCTCAAGGATGCTTATCCTCATCTTACATGAACATTAGAAAAACCTTTAGAATATAATTATTTATTTATATATTACATTTAACAATGGAAAATCGTTAAAATAAATACACATGGGATTCCTCCGATAAAATAGATGAGGCCTATAAAAATAAGTGAGGCAGCATGAGGTCTATGGCTATATATGCCAACATCTCTCACTTGGTCATGACGATCAAGCGCAATAATAAGTCACATATACACTTTCACCTTTGAGTGTAACCTTTAAAACAATATTTTATCGTGAGGTTTTTTTCACGCTTTCGTGAATGTCTCTCATAATAAATATCCATAACATCCAGTATAAAGATTTTCACGCTAATGCACATTTATCACTTATGGAAACCAACTCACTTAAACATTTTTAATTCTCATTAAGCTAGTGTTATTATAAAAATAGTTTAACACTTAAACCATTTGTCAATGGGTCAACGATCATATCGGATAAGGATAAGTACTTAACAGTTCATTTTTCTCAACTTCATCATGAATGTGGTGATTTTATACCTCTATATATATTCCTTTAGAGTTATTTGTTCTACTTTGTATTAGTTTAATTGTAGTTTAATTATCGCAAAACATTTAAATCGGTTAGTCGATTATTTGTATCTTCAAATCATCAATGAACGCTTTATTCAAACGATGTAAGTACATGTAATGTACTTTGCTTCTTATGTCTACCGGCAATACACCCTTGTTTCTTGAGAGACCAAGAAACTATTGCACCTTCGAAGAGAAAAACATGCATGTTTACAGCGTGAAATCAATAAGATCTCAAATATGAGAACCCCTAGTTTTTCGTTATAAAACTAGTTAATTAAATTTTTGATAGAGGAGTCGTGGGAATGATCGAATTATGATTTAAAGACTAATAACCTCGAAAGGCCAATTTCACTTCAAATCATTGGCAATGTCAACTTGATCTTTTGGCCAAAATAAAAAAAATCTAAAGCAAAATTAAATCTACTTCAAATAATCAAAATAACTAAAACTAAAAAATAGAATGAAAGAAAAGTTTACTTACTTGGGCCGATCGGCCCGGGATGCCCAAAGTTGGTGGTGACGTCCGTATCATGACCACAAGGTATTTATTCCTCTTTGCCTTCACTTTTTCTCTATGAAATGGGTTGATTTTTCCCCTCTGAGATATGCTGTAAATATTACCTATAGATAATTGAGAGAGGCTAAAATTGAATCTAAGGATTTGTAGCTTAGATATAAGGTTATGGCTTCTAGAATAAAAAAGATCTTTACCCCCACCGCCTCGAGTTGCTTCTTCACATCCTCCTTCCAAATCCACTCTCTGAAGTTCTTGGGTAACCCCTCAATAATGTCCTTACCCTCCTTCAAAGCCAAGTTTGTCAGAGCTCTAACCACTTTAATGGTGGCTATACGAGCATTACTGTGAACCTCCTCAATAACTACATGAAACTCAGTATTCTCTTCAACAACAGGAGAACTGAAGTATTAGCAGCTCCCCTGCAATACCTGGAACTGCAATAGCAGGTGCGAAAGAAGCTATAGAGACACTCAGCGTGTCCTGTAACCAATCAACAAGGCCTCGAGCCTCTTCAAGACTGAGGGTGGAAACGTCTTCACCCAATTTCTCTATTTTGGGGAAAGCAGCAGCGGTGGCCTTAACAATGGCAGGAAAACCATGGGCCCCTCGAGTTGGGCGCATGGAAATTTGGGGTATTCTTAGATTTGGCGATGTAGGCTTTTTGGTTGAGAGAAGCGTTGAGGTGGAGGAGCAAGTTGGTGAAAACATAGTGGTACAGAGCAGAGAGACGAGAAAGAGAAGAGAGAAAGTTAGGTTTTGGAGAGGATTAGGTATTTTGGGTGAGGGTAAAGTTAGAGAGAGAGAGGGAGGAAACTTTTCATTAGGGTTTTTAGAGAGATTGATTTTTTGAGAGAGAGAGTTTAGAGATAGAAAGAGAAATTGGGTTTTACATTGAGAAAAAGGTATTGGGTTCTTGGAGAGAGAAATAGACATTTGGTTTCTATTGAGAAAAGGATTGGGTTTTGAAAAGAAATTAGGTTTTTAGTGAGAGATATTGATTTTTTAGAGAGAGAAAAAGTTTGGATTTTTATAAAGAGGGCATGGGTTCTTAGATAGGAAAGAGAGATTGAGTTTATAAAGAGAGAGTGGTTTAAATAGTTTGAGAAAAAAACTCGAGCAATGATGATTAATTAGGCTAGATTGTTTAAATTATGGGTAAAGGGCTCGTAGATCAAGCAAAATCATCCCTTCCAAGGAGTTAATAGCCAGTTTTTACCAGATATTTTATGTTCGATGACCTGACCAGATCAAACTTGTCAAGAGGCCAATTGGCAGTTCGCCAAGTTGGAGTAGCCAGCTAGAGGCAAGCTTTCTATGCTTCCCTTGCAGCATAAAACTTATCTACTTCCTCCTATCTAATCGTTCATTTTGAATGGAGGGCTAAGATTGTCTCAATCACAATGTCACGTCTCTACACTATTTTATTTTTAATTTTTTTCTATGAACTATTTTGACACCAAATTTTGGACGTCCAATCTTCTATTAAATTCGTACTAGCAAAAAATATAAAAAAAATATTTTCAATAAAATAAAATGACCAAAATACCCCTGAAAGATTCAAGAGGTATTTTGGTCATTATATTTTATCAAAAATTATTTTTAATATTTTTTTTATAAGTGTGCCCTAATGAGAAGATGACACGTACCAAATTTCATATTCATACAATTTTTATACAAAAAAATAAAAATAAAATACTTTGAGACATCGGATCTAAATTCAAATAGCAAGTGGCTCTTTTGGTCAAAATTGGATGGCTGGATGGTAGGAGAAGTATAGAAGCATAGATCTATGCTGTAGAGGAAATGTAGAAACCTTTCCCGCTAGTTAAATCCAACATTGATAACATTGTTCTAAGGCATAATTGTTAGTTCTTGGTGTTTTACGATGGGGCTGTAATGGTTACTCCATAGGGATTGTGGGTTTCGAATGAAGCCGCATAAATTTGTGAAGATTCTGGGTCCGCATAGTTATTTTGAAGATTTGGTCGATCAAGGCTAAATTTCACGTAGGCTCACTCCTAATTTAAGAGTGAAACTATAGAAAACTGCTTTTTCTTTTTCTCTTGGTTTCTAAACTGACACTAAGAATGATTCTTAGGAACTCATCAACTCATGGAAAACTTTATGGATGCTGATGTCAATTTTCTATGACATTAAATGGACCTCAACAAAACCATGAATTTGTTGGACTTGAATGGTGACTCCCTCTCGCATATAAATTTGGATTGTCCATTCTTGGGTTGCAAAATCTACAATTTCAAGATTTTTTTTTTTTTTCTTTTTAAATTTGAATCAATGACTCAATAGCTTTGTACTGGAATCAAATGCTACAAAACCCCTATGACATGATTTTTTAGGGTTCAATGTAGAAATGGACAACCCCATTCATATGTGGTTAGGGAGTGTTTAGCAACTAGAAGTCTCAATTGAATAAGTGAAAACTTCTATTTCACTATACCACTTCCACATTGGGCAATACTAACTTCTACAGTGAAATTGTGGAGTAGAAATTTTGGAACCCCATAAAATGGTGTATGCCCACTTCTTGGGCGAGGGTGGGGATCGAAACAACCTTTATCCCAACTTCACTATTTTAAGTGGGAATTGGCGTGTTTAGAGGGTGTCGATCTGCCCCCTTTCTTTTTTAAAGGAAATCTCTCTATCGAAAAAAAAGTCCAAGCTTAATTGGTTAGTACTTGACAATTTGCAGCGCTATGTCCTAGGCTCAATTCCTACCAAGGGTAGGGCCATCTCCTGGAGAACTCATCTCAACCTTGACACTTACTATCTCTCTCTCACTCTCTCTCTCTC